CCCGCCCCGGGGCTAGCTCTCCTCTCTGGGATGCGTGGTCCAGAGGTGGGGAACTGCGGCTTCCCGGTGGCCGACGCCCCATTCATTTTCTGTTAGAGCCAGCAGCTAGGCAAGGTGGCTTGGAATCTGTCCTCATGTGTCACGTTTGGAAGCCGCGCCGGTCCTCTCTCTTCTTTGTCGAACGTGGTCAAAGTTGGGACTTAGCTTTCTTGGAGAGTCTGGGGAAGGATGGGGGTGGGAAGGAGGCCCCCAGGTCCCTAAGAGCAGTCATCTGCGTCAACATCTCACCCTGTGCTTTCCGCCTCCAACTTTAGTCCAATTCCTGCTAAGGCTTTGTGTTCCACGGATAATGAAAGCCATTTGGAAGACAAAGGTTGATGCTGCCCATGATAAATATTTGCATTTTAACGTGGTAATTTCTGGGAACTAAAAAGGATGAACTTCCTGGGTTCTTAAGATCAAAGGAGATAATGGCCATGGAATTGATATATAGCATCATGTATAAGAATTTACAGTTAGGTCATCAATAAATAGTACAATTATTTTGTCACACTTCCAATACCCTGAAGGACTTTAGGGTTCGGATGGTGCCAATCCCTGACCTTGAGTCTGCTTTCTTCCGACACCTTTGTTCCTTTCTCAGCTAAGGATTTTCATAATTATAAAAATAGGATTCAGAGGGTCCACTGAAATTAATTTTTTTTTTTTTTTTTTTTTTTTGAGGTGGAGTCTCACTCTGTCGCCCAGACTGGAGTGCCGTGGCCACTCCTGGCCACCGCAACCTCGACCTGCCGGGCTCCGGCGATCCTTCCGCCTCTGCCTTCCAAGGAGCTGGAATGACAGGCGCGCGCTACCACGCCCGGCTGATTTTTTGATTTATTGAAGAGATGAGGTCTCCCTGCCCAGGCGGGTCTCGAACCCTCGGGCTCCCAAAGGCGCGGGATTACAGGCTGAGCCACCGAGCCTGGCTGAAATTAATTTTTTAAAAAATGTTGGGCCTAAGTTAAGCACACCTGTCCTAGAATATGAGAGGTACAAATCAGGAAATTATGGCGATCCGACCCTGATGCTGGCTTACACTGTCCATTGTTAAGCCTCTGCTCATTTGCATTATTTATTACCATTCAATTAATTTTCATACAGCCAGACAGGAAGGATTATTACTAAGTGCCTGCCATGTGCCAAGAATAGTTTTAAGCCTTAAAAATACAGCACTAATAAGGAAAAGTCCCTACTCAAATGGAATAAAGCCAAGCAATGAAAAATGGATAAACTGTAAACTAAAGAGTGATCCTTAGCTGAGTTTAAAATCTTAGTTTTATATCATCCAGGACACCACAGTTCATTAAATAAAGCAAGTGACACAGAGATAGATGTGTACTAATCACTTTCTATACTCATAAAATTTATAGTCAAGTAGAGTTAGTAAAATGAAAACTCAGCAATCTAAAATGTATAAATACCAAAAGAGGAAGAAACCACATCTGTGGGGATGTGAGACAACGCAGTATATGTGAAATACTTAACACAGTGCCTAAACAATGCACATTAGTAATTGTTGTTAGTATAGGATGCCTTAGAGAATTGACGCTTATTTTTACAGATGGCGATGTCCAGGATGAATGCTGCTAAAGATATTAAACTGCAAGTATGGGTATATCTAAGATATACTTACAAGTCTGGTCCAATTAGCACTGCACATATGAAGAATTAGGTAGAAAGAAGCCTGGAACGGTAAATTATTATTATAGAAAACCAGGCCAAGGAGTTGGGACCTTATATCAAGGAAATTACATATAAAACAAGCATCACTACCCAGGCAATGGCTTGTCAGTTATACATGAAGAGTGAGAGACTGAGGATGATGGCAGTGGGACAGAAAAAAAGGAAGCCTGAGAGAAGGGACATTTCAGAGACAACTATGTGATTTAGCAACTGCTTAGATAAGAGGAGAGGTCTGCAAAATATAGAGTGATAGTGGATTGTGAACACACAAATGAAAGTAATATTAGATGTCATTTTGCCCTTTCCTTTCCAATTGGTTTATTAGCTTTGGGAATTATATATATTTTTCTCCTTTTTTTTTCTTTCGTTTTTTTTTTTTTTTTTGAGTTGGAGTCTCACTCTGTCACCCAGACTGGAGTGCAGTGGCTGCTCCCCGCCACCGCAGCCTCGACCTGCTGGGCTCCGGCGATCCTTCCATCTCAGCCTTCCACGTAGCCGGAATTACAGGCATGTGCTACCACACCCTGCTGATTTTTTGATTTATTGTAGAGATGAGGTCTCCTTGCCCAGGTGGGTCTTGAACCCGCGGGCTCAGGCAATCCACTCACCTCAGCTTCCCAAAACACGGGATTACAGGCTGAGCCACCGAGCCTGGCGGGAAGTAGATACTTAATTGATGTATTTTTCATCCTTATTGACCTGATAACTGTTTTAGCTCTATCCTAAAATTTATGACATGTTATGTTTAAATTTTGTATTTCTCCTTTGACTAAAGAGTTGTTTCATTGTGGGTGCTTAAATTTTGAGGAGGAAGTACTTTTTCCTTTTGAATGTTTGAAATTAATATCTGATT